GGGGGCGAAGGGGGGTGGGGGCGGAGCCGGCGCGGGGACAGCCTGGGACTCCGGGGTCAGCGGGGGCGGACCCGGCAGCCCCGGGCTCACCGTACTCCTGGCACTCCGGGTCCGGCTGGAAAGTAAAGTGGGACACCTGCCGCCTCCAGATCGCGTCCCCGCCGCGCGCGCCGGCCGTGGAGGGCAGCAGGAAGGCCCGTGACAGCCCCCCGCCGCCGAGGCGAAGCCGTCGGCTCTCAGGTCCGGCCCCGCGGAGCCACAACAGGCGGCCCGCCTTCGCTGCAGCGACCGCCATCCCAAGTCGCCACCGCCGCCGAGGTTCGCAGGCAATGCCGAGCGCTGCACGCCGCCCGCCCGGATAGGGGAGCACCCGAGGGGGCGTCCTCATAGGTCAGGCTAGAGGGGCGGTCTCGTGTAGCCGGCCAATCGGAGGCCGGGATCCGGGGGCGGGGTAGGAGACCGTCATGACGGAGCTGCGGACGCCTCTAGTGCGCATGCGAAGCGGGGGCTGGTGACTGGGCGAGTGGATTGTGCTTGGTGGGTGGAGCCTTCCCCAAAGTCAGTCTTCTGCGCTCAGAACTGGGGTGCAAATAGTTGGTGTTCTACGCTCTGGATTTCTTTTCAGTGTTTTTTGCCATCTCAGTGCCAGTAGCTTTTTCTTTTTAAAGTTTATGCTTTCTTTTAAAAGGTAACTTCCTCTCCCCCCTCTCTCCACCCAACGGAGCTCTGAGACAATGAAAGTCTTTGCCACTGTTACCCTAGAAGTCATGCATGGTCAAGGTTACTCAATAGCATTGGTTTTGAACGACCAAAACTGCAGGAATCACTGCTCCAAATCTCCATTCTTTGTTAACCACTCCTTGAAATCCTTAATAAGTATTTACACGGATTTTTATTGGTGGTTTTTTTTTTTAGGATTTAAAAAAACAGAAACATGTGGACTAAAATTTAAATGGCTGAACTGATTCTAAAAACCCAGAGGTAACTGTTCACATAGATTCAAACCAACCCTAAACTTAAAAAAAGCTCACTAGCAAGTCGTTGTCAACTCATAGCAACAGACTTTAACTCTTTCTAGGAGAAAGCCCAGTCTCTTGCAGAGCAGCTTGTAGTTTCAAACTGCTGACCTTGCAATTATCAGCCCAACACAAAGCCACTACACCAGCAAAAGATCATTAAAAAGAAAAAAAATTACCAAAGTGGATGGCCGAAGAAATTCTCTTTTGAACTTGGACTGTATAAAGCAAATGGAAGAAATGATGAAGGACCTGAACAGAACGTTTCAAAGGGTGGTTCAAGAAGACAATATAAAGTATTACAATGAAATGTGCAAAGACAGAGTTAGAAAGCCAAAATTGAAGAACATGCTCAGCATATCTCCACCTGAGAACTGAGAACAAATTCAAGCCTTAAGTTGTAATATT